ATAGAATAGAATAGAATAGAATAGAATAGAATAGAATAGAATAGAATCAGAAATAAAAATAGAAATAGAAATAGAAAAGAACAGAATCAGAAATAAGAATAGAATAGAATCAGAAATAAGAATGGAATAGAACAGAATAGAATCAGAAATAAGAATAGAATAGAACAGAATAGAATCAAAAAAATAAAAATAGAATGGAATCAGAAAAAGAATGGAATAGAATAGTACAGAATCAGAAATAAAAATAGAATAGAATAGAATCAGAAATAAAAATAGAATAGGATCAGAAATAAGAACAGAACAGAATAAAAAACATAATAGAATAGAATGGAATGGAATAGACAAAACAGAACAGAACAGAGCAATTCGAGAGTATAGCAGAACGGAATAGAGTACAGAAAAGAGACGAGAAGAGAAGTCATCTTTAAATTGGAACCCCATTGCCTGGTCAAATTAAGCTCTACTTTCTTTCCACTCTCTCTGAGTTCCTGGAGTTCCATTCGAAACCCCGGGGACTTCACTGTGGCAAAAAATGCCCCCCCTCCAACGTCCCTGATCCTTTCTGGCTTGGTCTTGTTGCAGCATCCCAGAAATCCTGCCAGCCGCAGGAAGCCAAGGACCTGCGAGGTCATTAAGGGAGCTGGGGGCCCCCCTGAGGTCAAGGCAGTAGCAGTTTTAAATAGAAAAAGAAGAGCAGCCAATTATTTTGGAAGGGAGAGCAGCTGCCTCGTGGCAAGAGCAGCCCAACAACTAGAGTTATTTGTAACGATGAAGATCCTGGCGTGGGAAAGAGACCTCTGGGACACGATGATTAAACTCCGAGTAGGTCTCCCAGCCACTTTGGGCGATTTCCACATGTAGGGGAGGGTCTTTTATCAAATTATTCATAAGGAATAGAAGGTTCTTTTTGCAGATGTCTGCCTGCAGAAGGGGACTGGTGAGGAAATAGCGATTAAGCCAATTATTATTTTTTCTCTCTCCTTCTTTACAACTTACATGCTACTCCATTTCTGCAGACGCTGAAGCAGCTTACCTTATAAATATCAGAAGATGAGACATTAAGGTCAAGGATAGCTAGTCCTCAGCTTATGACCATTTCAAAGACCCTGTGGGTTAACTGATTTTGCTTTGGGGTTCTGGGCATGTGGGTCACCCTCCACTCTTCCTTTCCCCTCCGGGGCTGTCTTGGGCAACAAATAAGGACAACAAATAGCAATAGGAATAGCACTTAGACTTATATACCGCTTCACGATGTTTTACAGCCCTCTCTAAGCAGTTTACAGAGTCAGCCTTTTGCCCCCAACAATCTGGGTTCTCATTTTACCAACCTTGGAAGGATGGAAGGCTGAGTCAGCCTTGAGCCTGTCATGATCGAACTGCTGGCAGTTGGCAGAGTTAGTCTGCAATACTGCATTTTAACTAATGCACCACCATAGGAATAGAATAGAATAGCACCAGTATTTAGATTTATATACCGCTTCATTCAGTCCACTCTTAAGTGGTTTGCAGAGTCAGCCTCTTGACCCCAACAATCTGGGTCCTCATTTTATCAGCTTTGGAAGGACGGAAGGCTGAGTCAACCTAGAATAGTATAGAATGGAATGGAATAGAATAGAACAGAATAGCTCTTCGACTTATATCCCACTTTTTATTTATCCTCATTTTATTACTGACCTAAGAAGGATGGAAGGCTGAGTCAACCTTGAGTTGATCAGGATTAAACTCTAGACTGTGGGCAGAGTAAGCCTGCAATACTGCATTCTAACCATTGCACACCAGGAAGGAAGGAAGGAAGGAAGGAAGGAAGGAAGGAAGGAAGGAAGG